ACACTGCTTGCGCGAGCGTGGAGGACCCTCTATACTGGGTCGCTAACGCACGCCAACCGCGCGCAGTGTACGCACCTAGTGCCATGCGCTCGCTGATGGTGCTCCAGCGCGGCCCGACAGCGGCGACGAGGGCGACGAGGCGGTCGTCGTCGGCGCTGGTCCACGCGGCCATCGCGATCCAATCCACCCTGCATATCCGGATAACGTGTCACACGCCGATGGTATTTCCCACGTCGTGTGAAATACCGCTAGTGTGAAATTTGCACACGGCGCCAGCACATGGGATGATGGCAAGCATTTTGCGTGGGCGAGGTCGAAGCGTACAGAAAGCGCGAGCTCTCAGAGAGAGAAATGCACTGACATGGGCACGGATGCTGCGCACCATCTATGACGAAGAAGGGTCCAGGCTGTGGTACCATGTTGCCGGCAGTGCAAGGGTCGCTGATGCTCAAACGAGCGGATCGTGTCCGTGTCGCAGGGTCCACTGCGTGACAGGCTCACTGGCACTCATTACACCCGCAATTACCTCGCGGTGTATGCAGTCTCAGAGGTCATCCGCGACGGCGAGGCTGTTTACACGCAACGTGCGAAAATTGGATTTCGAGCCGCACCATGGAGAGATTCACGAAATCTCGACAATGGACGTCTCGCGATGTCGCAATCACGCTACAGTACTTATCACCGCGCCGGGTTGCAGATCGAATCCGTGCAACGGACTTGACGGGCTGATCTGTGCAGCGAAGAAATCTCCAATGCACACGATAGGATACGAAATGCGGTCGCATCCGAGCTCCGTCTCAACGTCTCGGACGAGATGCACCTTGCGCGCACCTTGCTTTTTCGATAAAAGAGCATGCAGGCTAGGCCAGTGGGTGCTATCTTTTTAGGATGATTAAAACCGATGCCTTGTCGCGTTGACGAGCTTGGCACGATCATCAACATCATCTCAACGACGACGACAACGTGTGCATCGGAATAGAGGCGGAAGGAGCTAGAGGGGTGGCACAGCGAACAATATCCCGTGCTAACACCGGAGCCCCAGTGTGTGCACACGGGGAATTGCACGGTTAGCGCTTTGTCACAACGCTGTCTGAACTCGAACGAGAGAAGGTCCGAAAATCGAACAACCCGCTTGAAAAAAATCTGCGTTTTGGGCACGACATGGAGAGCACGGCTGTTGCGACCGTGCGTCGACCACGTCGCGTGAGCGATCGTACCACAAGCGTCCTCAGCGACGGCGCCAAATATCCGAGTAGCCCTTGGTTGCGTCCATTTAGACGCTCGACGACGCGCAGCTTGAGGATATGCATTTTAAGAGGTATTATGGGCGCCAAATTTTATACATGGGCGATGACTTGGTTACCGTATCGATCTCTTCCGGCCTCTACAATTCGAAGTTTTCATACTGAAGCCAAGTCACATGCCAATCGAACAATTGGGGGTCATACAATAGAAATCGAGCTTGTCATTTAATACCAACGCTTTATTCCAGAGCGTAATACATACGTGCGCGCACGCAATTTAAAAAAAAGACCCGCTGGGACCCGATCGCACGCCGATTTAAAAAATTAGAATCGAATTTTCCCCGTCGGCAACAGACAGCATGCGACCGTCGGAGGATATCATGGCCGTGCCCGAGACGGCCGCCAACGTCGGCGACGGCAAGAGCGTCCGCCGGAAGCAGAAGTTCGGCGGCCGCCGGTCCGTGTGGCCCGGCGCGCTGGCGCTCACGCTCGGTATCCTCGGCGCCATCGGCGGGCTCAGCTACTGGGGCGTCACGTCCACCAAGACATGCTCAACCGCCAGCCCAACAACGCGGACCTTGCGCTCATCTATGGCTCGGGCACGACGATTACAGATGGCTCGGGCACGACGACCAACTCGTCGGCGCTGCCGCTTTCGATCACCAACCCGACCGAGTACGAGGACAAGGGCTGCGCGCAAATCAACTATGTCACGAACAACAACCAGATCATCATGCAAACATCGTCGAGCAACAAGCCGCTCGTGTTCAAGGGCGTCAACTGGCGCGGCATGGAAGGCTGGGACCACGTGATCACGGGCCTTTGGGACGGCGCCCGCGACGGCAACACGCTGGTACGACGCATTCTGCAGGATCCACTACGTAGATGGGGCACTCACGTCGCGACCTATTATGTAGTACCAAATCGGCTCGTTCTTGGCCAAGAACGGCTTCAACGCGGTGCGCTTCCCGATCGACGTGGACGCGACGGCGCGCAACATTATGGTCAAGACCAACTTCAACACCAACTCGCAGCGTGCGCTTGCGTCGCTGAACCGCTACATCCAAGTGCTCACGGCGCTCACGGAAGGCCTCGGTCAGTTCCAGATCGCGGTCGTCTTTGACTTCAACACGCGGTCGGTCGCGGATCTCAACCAGACGGACCGGTCGGTCATGGACTGGTCACTGCGCAACTCGTCGGACGACCTCCAGGGCAACGGATGGGAAAACATCAACGTCAAATTGGCGCAGTACGAGCTCGCCGTGCAGGGCCTCGCGACCGCCATGTGCAACGCCAAGCACTGGAACGTCGTTGGCATTGACGTCAAGGACGTGCCCGCGGGTGCGTCGGGGCAGTGGGACGGTGACGAGAAGACCAACTGGAGCAGCTTTGCCACGAAGGTTGGCAATGCGATTCTCAAGGCGTGCCCGCAGTGGCTTGTCTTTGTCCAGGGCATGACGACGTCGTCCAAGTTTGGCTCGGGCGACGCGGCCAAGACGATCACCGACTGGCCCGGCGCGTCGCTGTCGTCGGCCGTGCAGTCGCCCATCACGCTCTCGACGCCGAACAAGGTGGTGTACGCGCCGCCGTTCTGGACGCCGTCGCTGTACCCGCAGCCGTACTTTTTCAAAGAGTCGAAGGGTCTCTCGATGCTCTCGTCGTACACGGAGTTTCCGGACGCAGCCTCGCTCCAAGCGTCGATTGATGACGCGATGGCCAAGATGTTTACGGGACTTCTGACGTCGACGACGGCACCGGTCGTGCTCTCGTACTTTGGTGGGCTCTACGGCACGGACGACCTCTATCCGAAGGGCACGGCATCGCGCGTCATTGATTGCATCATCAACCGCATGACGAGTGGCAACAAGCCGATCGCCGGTGGCTTTTGGTATGCGCTCAACCCGGACCAGAGCTGGCCGCACCCGGGTCCGAACTCGTCGATCCCGCAGTCGGGCGGTCTCTTGGATGCGACGTGGCGCGCGGCCAACCCGAACCAGCTCGCGGCGACCACCAAGATGAACGACATGCCCGGCCTCGGCTTGGTCACGTGCGACCCGCGATAAAGAATGGACCCCACGACATCCTGATGAACAATTTACGACTACCTTTTGCATATTTCGGACTGCTTGCACTCATTTTGGAACGACCACCGCTGCAACGACCCAATCCTGCACGTCGTCTTGACGGGCGATAACATCGGTCGTCGCAGTGGCCGAAGCGGTGGTTCTCCTCCTCAAGAAAGTGAGTTGGTGAGAACGCTTTTCGCAGTTGAGTGAACCGAACGCTGGGCCTCGCGTCGCCCTGGACGTCGAGTCGTTGGGCGCTACTGAGGATCGCCACGCCCGCGCAGTGGTAGTCTTCGTGGTCCATGGCATCGAATGGGCTTGATCTAGCGTAGAAGCCGAAACATGAGTGCAGACAGCGGTGTCCCCCTCTGTGCGTGCAATGGCAGCAGCCAGCGCCGGATCGAGCTTGGATCAGAGACCATGTGAGAGCTCCTATAGCCATTGTCGTTCATGCCAAGCCATTGCATTGGCGTGGTTGACATGATGGAGCTGGAACACAGACGCAACGCTATCACCTGTGCAGGCCCTGGAATGCTTCCCAATTCAGCACGTGGTCGTTGCGAGTGCGCCCATTGAAACGATCCCAGCCGTGGGCCACGTGTGAAGCTTTCGGGGACCATCCGAGGCCCTGCAGGAGAACGACCATCATGCAGCAGAGCCATCAACCCGAAGCAGATCGAGCATCCCACCGGGTTGTCGTCGCCGGACCAAGGTTGAAGTGCACGAGACATTGGATAAGGGGATCGGATGACAGCCCACCAAGCATGAACGCGAAGGCTTGTTCAGATGACGCGTCTTCTCTTTCAAGTCATATTTGCACAACTGCGGACGCGCCGTCGCACGAACACCCACTCGGTTCGTGATCTACAGTAGTAGGTTGACCTCACATGAGCTTGTCAGCTGTTTCCTGTCTTCGGACGCTCTCAAGTAACGCCTTGGCTCGAAGCAATTAGATTTGTGTCAACTTAAGGAAAGCATGGAAAGAACTGGAGGTCCGCGACCGCGTCCATGGCTTGCATGCCCTGGACGAACGGCAAGTTGGCCGTGCGCCAGTCGATTTGCACGACACCCTCGATAAACGTGCCCGCCGCGTCCGCCGGATTGAACTGATACGCGCTTTCCGGGTTCAAGCTCCAGACATACCCGCCCGAGTAGCCCGGCTGCAGCATCGCCTCGATTGTAAAGTCGGTGCAGCGCTTCGTCGTGAGCTTCGGGTGCGCGTCTGTCGCGTAGAGGCCACCAAACTCGCCCAGCACGATCGCCGCGTCGTGGGTCTTGGCCAGGAAACCAAACATGACCTCCATCGTGCGCGAGATGCGCACTCGTAGGTCAGCGTCCGAGAGCTCGACGTAGCTAAAATCGGGTTTCGTTGCGCGCAAACATGGAGGCAGTGCGTACTTGGTGATGATACCGCCGGGACCTGGGGTGCCCCCGCCATAGAGGTACGCTTGGGGGTACACGGCCGGGGTGTAATAGTGCGGCGCATACACCACCTGCAATAGCATTGCAGGAGTAAAACGGTGGACGATAAGACAATAATGTGTCGCGTTACCTTGTGCGGCGTGTTGAGCACGACGGGCTTGGCGCCAGCGCCTTGGAGACCGCTGCCCCACCAGTCGTTGTACGTCATAGCGACGCCGTTAAACGTGACGGGCTGGCCCATATTGACGATGCCCTCGACGAACGCGAGCCAGTTGGGACAGCCTTTCAGCATCCGGTGGCTAATGTCCGTGGCGCCCTTGAGGAAATCTTTGGGGCCATTGTCGCCCCACGTCGAGAGGTGCGGCTCGTTCTTGACATCGAGGCCGATGATGTTCCAGTACTTGTCGCTGCAGAGGTTGGTCGTGAGCATATCGACCGCTTGCATAAACTAGTGCGATAGAAAAGCATCAAAAACGAAGAAAAAACAGATGTGGAGTACCATGTCGACTGGCACCGCGTCGCTGAACCACGCGCCGCCCGAATCCGTCGGCGTGAGCGTATGCAGTGAGATGAGCACCGAAATGCGCCGGTACGCGAGCGTCGAGATGATGCTTTTGAGCAGCGCCATGTACGACGACGCGTCGACGGCGCGGTTCGCGGCGGCGTTGATGAGGTTCTTGTTGGGCTTGATGTTGTTCACAATGCTTTGAATGCACACGGGCAGCCGAATGCTATTGATCTTGTTGGCTGCCAGAAATTCGGCCACTTGAAACTAGAATCGCATGTCCAGTTGATAGTTTGATACGATGGATCGATGGAGGTTCCGAGTACCGCGGTCGTGCCGTTCTTGTCGTTGGTCCAGAGGCCGAACGGAATGGCTTGACCACTAAGTCGCCACATGAATACGTCTCACATGTGTGCAAGGCGACTACGTTTCCATGCCAAACCTACGGTCCAAGGTCAGAGCGACGACGATAGATGAGCTCAAAAGTAGTACCAGTTGAGACCCTTGATGCCGAGGGGGATTTCCGTGCCGTTGGGCGCGACCGCGTAAATCTTGTTGTTCTTGCTAATGTAATTCGGCTGCTTGCACGCTACGGGCATGGGTGAGATCCTTGACCAAAATAATGGACAAAATTGAAAAATTGCTAAAGTACAAGTAGCGTACGTACTCTGAGGGGGGTACACTTGGGGGTTGTTGACGACCCCGTCCGTGTCAATGAGTGGCGGCAAGCCCGTGCCCGAGCCCGATGTCAGGCCTGTATCGATCTGCCGCATTCGGTACTGTCGCATCTGGACCGCGAGCCGGAGGTCGAGCATGGACGTGCGCGCTTCGTCGGCAAAGTAGACCATGAGCACCACCGCGACCGCTGTGATGGCCAGCAGAAGGAGGGCGCCGGGCCACACCTAATGATGCACTTGTTGAAAAAACCAATGTCAGGATCGTTGTCCTGAGTACCCGATACCGGCCCTTGAAACTGCGCGCCGACTCGCTGTGGGTGAGGCGAGCCGCCGGCAGCTCGTCCGCCAGGATCGTGTCGCGCGCCGTCATCTCCGACTCGCGGTGCACGGTGACGTCATGCTTCTCATCGATGTACGTCGGCTGCTCGTAGTTGCCCTCCGTCGGCGTCCGAATGCTACTCTCGCGCCGCATTCCAAGTCAGAATGCTCGTTGTCAAGTCGTCGCCTTGTCCTTCGATGGAAGAAATTGTCATTTGTTCGATAAACGCTGCAATCCGATTGGCGCGTTGCGTCTTCGATATTTCACGCTACGAGCACCTCTTGCTCGGTTGCGATCGGGTTAACGCGTCGGTGTTCAAGTGCCGATGCGTGAAAATGGTGTGGATGAAGCGCCACAGCCGTTGGAGCCGACGTTGGTTCAAGCCAAGTACTGCTAATTGGCGGTTTAGTCGACGAGCCCATCTCTGTGCAAGTGCTGTCGATAGGTTAGACGCATTTTGCATTGAACAATCAATGCCAACTCCGCTTCCAGTACAACTCTAGCCTTTTGTACACCTGTACGCAACCACGTTGCGGGCTCCAATGCGGGGCACGTTGGCCAGGATCGTCAAGCCGACTAGAAGCATGCGAGCCCATCACCAAGCCGTCGTCTTGAGGGCAGTGTCTCTCTAGCAACCGTAAGCTAACGCCACCATGCACACTGGGGACGTCGCCACAACAGCGTTGAACTAGATCGGATCTTTAGCGCGCAAAATGTATTAGTTTCGTATTTATTCGCGAAAGAACAGCCATGGTTTTACAACTCGTCCTTGGGCGCGTGCTGCATGGCTTCGATCTCGGCTTCGATCTCCTTCAAAATGTCGCCTGGGTGCTCAATGTCCGCGTTCGCGGCCTGGGCTTCGCGGTGCTGGCGCAGCAGCTCCAAATCATCTGCGTACACCCGCGCCCAGACCTTTTCATCGACAACCAAGTCCATGCTCTGGTGCATTTGGACAAACTGGCGCAGGTCGTCCATCGTCGGATACAGTTGCGAAATCGCGGGCCCGAGGGACTTGGTCGTTTTCGCCTCGCGCGAAATGTACACGAGTTTCGGCAGCGTCGCGAGTTCGTCGTCGCTGAGCTCGAGCAGGTCGTTGTGCTGCATGTCCATGCGGGCCACGAGCAGGCGCTTCTCGCGGCGCCAGACCTTGGCAAAGACGTCGAGCTGCTGCGTGAACCACTGCGACGGGCCGTGGCGATCGCTGCGCGTCAGCAGCAGCAGCGTGTCCGCTTGCGGCGCTTGCCACACCTCCTTTGCAAACGAGTTGGTCACAAGGACGCGGACCGCGCCATTGTTGTGCGTCGGGTTCGCTTGCGACTTGAGCTTGGGCTGCACGTCGCCACGCAAAACGTTTTGAACAAAGGTCATGATCTGGTCGGCGCTGTGCGCGTCGGGCCCGGCGTAAAGGTACTTGCGGTCGCGTCGCATGTGGACGACAAGGATCGCCGGCACGTCGCTTGGCACGTCCCAGAACTGATAGTCAAAGTTCATTGCATCTTCGGGATCCTCGACCGTGTACGCGACGAGGAGGTCGCGGCCAAAGGCTTTCCCGACAGCTTCGAGGTGCGGCGTCGCGGCTGCTCTCGCGGCCTCGGTCTTGAAGAACGCGAGGAGCCGGAACGTCTTGGGGTGCGACAGAAAATTGCGCACGCGGGACTCGTCCTTGTCGCCGAGGTCGGTGAGCAGCGGCATGTCGTAGTCGGCTACCAGCTCGAGCGCGTCCTTGGCGGTGAACGCATCGCCAAGGTACGGCACAACGCGGGGCGCATCGAAGTCGCGGAGCAGGAAATGCCGGGCGCTCGGGTCGATGTCGATGGCGCCAAGCAGGGCGCGGTCCAAGACATAGCCGCACGGCGCCCGGCGTTTGATTTCGCTGCACACGGCTTCATAGGACGCCAGCGACGACGGCGCGTCGTCAAGGACGGCGAGAAATTTGATGTTGGCGTGCTGAAAGACCTTGCGGCGCTTCCATTTCTTGAGCTCGGCGTCCGATGTGATGTGCGTCACGGCCGGCAGCGTCGTCGAGAGAATGCGCGCTTGGATCTCCGTGTGGCCGCCGCGCGCGTCCATCGACTGCACGACCGACCCGTTGTGGAAGAGCAGCATCGTCGGCTTGTCGCTGTCGACGCGATAGAGCTCTGCAATCTCGCCATGCTCGGGCTCGGAGATGTCCAAGCGTGCCATGCGGATCGAGGCCGACGTGTACGACCGACTGCTTTCGTGCAGCTCCATGCTCGCCTTCTCCCAATGCAGCGCGACGAACTCAAAGTCGTCCATGCTCGGTGCGTAAAAGAGCACGGCCACGTACGCGTCGCCAGCAATCGCCGTGTCAAAGTTGAGGTCCGTGAGGTCTTCGGCCGTCGGGTTGTTTAAGTCAGGGATGCCGAACCGGCCCATTTGAGCGAACTCGGCCTCGTTTGTCATGCCCTTGTCCTTGAAGCCAGGGCCTGTCGGGCCCGGCATGAACTTGTGGAGGTTCTTGGCCTGCTCGGCCATCTTGGCGTCGAACGAGGTGGCGGTGGCCGCAATGTCGGCGCCAGCTAGCGCCACGCACGCGGCCAGCGCTGCACCGAGGAGCATCGTCGTCTTCATTCCGCTTGAGCTCGGGCTGCGGAAATGGCAAGTGACTTTGATGGGCGCCGGAAAGATCGCCGGCCTTTCCATGGAACGCAACGCGGTGATTGGCTGAAATCCGTCGAAGCTTCGAAGTACGGAAATCGCTTCGGCATTGGATAGACGCACGCAACCTAAGTTTTCAGTCGCGCGCCCTCGCTCTACAGCGACACGACATGATCAAAACCGTGACGCCATGTCCGAGTCGTGCCCAATATAATGCATTTCCCACGTACGCACCCCAGTCCTTCCATGGTCGAGCCCGTTGATTCTCGGGTTGTCAACGCTGCAGTTGAAAGAAAATCGGCCCATGGCACGGCGAGCTTCGACTGGATACGACGCGTACGCCTCGTCCTGAATACACTGCAATGTACAACGTTGATCAAGGGAGATCGCATTTTGCTTGGAAGCCCGTCGCGGCGTCGTTGTCGCGCCGTGGCTCGACGCATTTCTATCGTTCGCGCGAAAAGTGGCGTGCGATTAGCCGACCAGCGTATCTTGGGAAACTTCGATGTTTTTTCGAACGACTTGGCGGTATCTTGAAAGGGCAGACGCGAGATAGCCATGCACTTTCCGTCTTGCTCGCCACGGCCCAGCCGCCTCTTCGCACCACACATGAAGCTGCTCTTGCTTGCCTGCACCGCGCTGCCGTGCCTCATGGTGCTGGCCAAGGACAGCCAAGGCCCCGTGCTCCAAGAGGCCAAGACGAGCGAAGTGCTCAAGAGCGTCATTGACGTCGCTCTCGGCAAGGAAGCCAACGACGGCGCCAGCACCGTCGGCTTCGTGCTCAGCCCCGAGCAGATCGACATGATCCAAAGCGCGCTCGGCGTCGAAATGACGGAGAGCGAGGACGATGCACCCGACGTCAAGCGCCGCGTGGACAACTCGGCGATCAAGCACCGTGCATTCCCGGGCGACCTCCGCGGCCTTGGTGCGATCGACGACATGATGAAGGGGCAGCTCGAGTCGCTCATCAAGGTCGCGGGCGTCGAGCTGCCGACGGACCTCGACGCGCGCATCAACAACGACAAGATCGACGACCTCCTCTCGTGGTACAACATGACCTGGCTCGCGTTCAACCTGAGCGTGTCGTATGTCTTTGGCGATGGCCTCCTCGGCGGCGTCGTCGTTGCGTCTCTGCTCGCGACACTTTTTGTCGTGCTGCCGTGGGCTCTCCGGAAGCGAAGGGAACGGGCCATGACGCGCTGGCTCACCGCCTTTTACATGGAGCACGCGCCCGACTCGATGCTCCGCATCCCGAAAGCGGTCGAAGCGTACATGCAGCTGCCGCGCGGCTTTGATCGCATGAAGGCCGACGTCATCAAAAAATACATTACGAACGCCGACGAGACCAAGAAGACCAAGTAACTCGACTCGACCAGTGCACCCTCAATTTTCGAAATACATTTGCAACCTGTCAGTCTGTACTAGTTTGTCTACCTGCAGAGTACATCTACGTGCAAGTTGCCGAGTGTGTCGCCGCAAGAGATGACGTCTCCATCGTCCATCCAAGCACTTAACGTGGCAAGATTCAATGCACAAGAAGGCATGCCCATAGCTAACCAACCTGAGGATCGGGGCACATGTACTGTCTGGATGTACCTATGTACCCGGCGTGTACTGTACCGAGCCAATACTGTACATAGCGGTGCCAACCGATTCGCTGCGCTGGATGTACCGTTCTATGATGCTCGTATCCAGCGTACGAGCCACGTTCGGTTGTTGCCATGTCCGTAGAATGGAGCCAATTGCATTTATGTGAAAAGAGGAAATTGCCCGTGTACGAAATGCCCATGAAACACCATATTTGGAGTTGGATTTGGTTTTTTTCGTCCAGTTTATTTTCAGTCGGTCATTGTGTCCGAATCCGAATGTTCATAACGATAACAGTAATTTTGTTTCGGGAGCCGTCGAACCCAGCTGGGGAACGTTGTGGCGGGTCCATGGGAGAGTGCCATCCGCCAACATGGCGATGGTCGTCGTCTCGAGCCCTTTGCCAAGTCCAGTGCCCGTGCTCGCGGCCCAAGAGTTTGCGTCGCCCGACGACGAGAAGCCCAGCGACTACCACGGCCGGCGCACGGTGCGCAACCTCCATCGCTCGCGCTGCCACGTCATCAATCGTGTAGATTTGGCCAGGCTCCATCTTTTGTCTCGTGCTGCTGGTCGGGAGCGTCGTGTTGCTGACGTACCTCGGCGAGAACGTGCACACAAAAACCATCGAGCGTGTCCGCGCCAAGCTACTCGCGGCGGCCGAGCGCAAGCGCATTGCCAGCAACGGCTCCTCGATGCACGACGCCGCGCTGATTGACCCGATCGACGGCCAAGTCGACAACCCGCGCCAGTACCCCGCGCGACGTAAGGAGGCCCTTGCAGCGACGATATAGAAATGGGCGAATAGGGTGCGCGTTGCCAAACTACGTGAGCAAGAACAACGGCATCTACGCCGAACACGCTGGTACCTCGCAGCGTGTCAGCATCAAGGGCATCAACTGGTACGAGACGTCCATGCAAGCGCCTCTCTCAAATGCGTAATCTTGCAGGTTTGGCGCCGAGACGGCCGCGGCCATTCCGATGGGTCTCTGGGACAATGGCCTCAATGGCACGACGGTGGTATATCACATTCTACCAGTCCAAACTCGCACGATAGTTTGCATGTATAGATGGCCATTACGTCGTTCTTGGCCGAGCACAACTTCAACAGCGTGCGCGTGCCTCTCTGTGTCGAGCATTTGCTTCGCAACACGGCGCCCGACCCGCGCCTCGTCAATGTGCATTCCAACCGCGCGGTACACGACGACTACATATTGACCGGCGTGTCTCATAGCTGTTGTTTTTGTCTAGTTTGACATTGGCAGCTACGTCCGCATGCTGCAGAGCCTCGTGATCGCGCTGGGGGCCAAAAACATCTCGGTGCTCCTCGACCTCCACACACTGACGACGACCGAGAAGGGCGACAACTGGTTCAGCGCGGCCGTGCCCCAAGACGCAGTGCTCTCGGCCGTCGACGTGCTCACAACCCATTTGTGTGCGCCCCGCTACTGGAACGTCCTCGGGCTCGACCTCAAGAACGAGCCGTGGAAGGCGACGTGGGGCACGGACGAGCCGTCCGACTTTCGCATCGGCGCGACGCTCCTCGGCAACCGCATGCTCGCGGGCTGCCCGTCCTGGCTCGCGTTTGTCGAAGGCACGTGGGCGTCCCACGACATTCCCAACCAGTTTTCGTACTTTGACTGGTGGGGCGGTGGCCTCCAAAAAGCCGGCAGTCTTCCGGTCATGTTGAGCCAAATGAACAAGGTGGTGTATGCGCCGCACTACTACAACCCGTCCGTCTCGGTCCAGCCGTACATGTATGCCAGCGGCAATGTCGACAGCAACGGCGCATTGCAAAGCTACGTCGAGCTCGACGACGCGACGCTGCGATCGCGCATTGCCCTTTCGATGCACCACATGTTTGGCTACCTCACGTCGTACGGTGCCTATCATTGCACTTTCTCGTTTGTGATAACGAGTTTGATCCGGTACGTACTAGGACAACGCCGCATGCCGTCGTCCTCGGTGAGTTTGGCGGCTTGTACGGTGGCGACACGCACCCCAAGCGCACGAACCAGCGTGTGACGCAGCTCGTTGTCGCGATGCTCGCCGAGCCAGCGACGTATGGCTACGCCTGCGGCTACGTCTGGTCGCTGAACCCAGAGAGCGGCTATGCGTTCTCCGATGGCGCCACGATGGGGGCGTTCCACGAAGGCCTCGTCGACGATACGTGGCTCAAGGCCAACGACGCGTATCTGCAAGCGCTCTCGCCCATGGACGCGATGCCGCACTTGTCGCCGTTTCCGTGTTTCGAGCTGATGGCGGTCGACGAGTCTGTATGATGTAATTGATGACGATGTACAGTACTGCCGTGCGTGCGGTTGCGGAACAGTGTCCAGGGTCTTGGCCGTCGCAGTGCTTATTGGTCAAGTTGCAACAAAGCCCTAGGTACTACTACAGATCCGGGCAGTAGCCGTGATGGGACCAGCCACCATCGTGAACGAGGCAGCGACGGCAGCGGACAAACTGTTTAACGCCAATCTTGAAAGAGGTGTAGGGTTTTTGTGGAGGCATCGAGTCAGGATAGATGTCCGGGTACCAAGCATGACAGGATGTATCAAGTATCAAGTAGCACTTGACATATTGAAGCAAGAGGGGTGGACGTTTCTGTGTTTTTGTTCACTTTTGGTTTGATTCCTGGCCCTAGTGGACGCATTATGGCGACGTCGAGCACATCCCGGTACAGCAAGGCCACCGAGAAGCGCCAACCGTGGCGTGAGCTCGACCCGATGCTCCAGACGTTGTCGTCGCACCAGAACACCTTTACACGAGGAGTCTCCTCCCGAATCCAAGCCTTCACGGAGCTCCTCATTCAGAGCCAACGCACGTACAACGAGTCAGTCCGCTCCGTGCTTCAGCTCTGTCGTCATTTGGTGCCGTTGCTCGAGCCCAACGCTGACAAGCAAGCTCTCTCCAATTGGCTATTCAAGGGCCAATCACAGCTGCCCCAGGCAATGGCGGCTCTCAACAACGTCAGTGCCGCTCTCGCTGCAGCACGTGACCAGCTGCCCGAGCTCGAGCAGGCGCTGGAGACCTTGGGGCGCCCCGTGCGAGACCAACCACGCGTCCAATTGGGTGGCGATTGTGTTGGACAAGCTGAGCAACCACCTCGAGGCAGAGACAGCGGTCTGGGAGGCGACGACTCTCTGCTGCAAGGGCGCTGCAGAGAGCATCAAGGCGGCTACGGCGGCCGTCCTGGCCGAGAAGAACGAGATTCGCACCATTGCGGACGCAGTCAAGACGGCGCATTTTTGTCTCGAGTGGCTCCGGACCGATGGCTCAGAGACCGACTACGACAGCTGGGTGTGCGACGCTATGAACAAGTTGCTAGCCCACTGCGAAAGCTATCTGAGACGCTTCAACTCGAATTAAAACAAAATCCACTTCAATGGCACCCCACCTCTGCACGCACAGGAACTGACGGCGTGTGTTTTGTCTTCTTGGAGCTCCAATCCTCACGCGGATAGGCGGATAGGAGCAAGGGCTTGATGCTTCATCTACGATTCGATGCTCAAGCCACCGATGGCGCGCTCGACCCGAGGTTCCAGACGATGGAAATGCAAGGCTATCGCGTATTGGACACTGGATTTGGCGACGACAGAGTGGAATGGAGAATGCACACTATTTGCTTTCACAACCTTGCAAGAGGAAAAAGCAGAGCGTATTGTCAACGTAGAGAGCAAACGATCTGCGGATTAAAGGTCGTCGGGCATGACGCAGTTGCCGTACAGCGCATCGTACGTCTCCCGCTTGCGGCTACAAAGGACATCAATATCACGAGCCACAAATGGTTCTGTGTACATGAGGCGGTCGGTGCCATCGGGCGAGACGAGCACTTCGGGCGCGCGGAGCTTGCCGTTGTACTGGAACCCCATCGAGTGCGAGTGCGCGCCCGTGTCATAGATCACGAATAGATCTCCGACGCTGGCCTTGGGGAGCGGTCGGTCCTTTCCAAACCTAGCCACCACCTATCTATGAGATCTCAGTCGCCTTGATAGAATATCGCACCAGTCGTTGTTTTCGCAGAGCTGGCCGACGACGTTGGCCGTCACGATCTCGGCGCCCGGTACATCCCGCGCCGGAATCGTAATGTGATGGTACGCGCCGTACATGCCTGGTCGCATGAGGTGCGCCATGTTGGCGTCGAGGCCATAGTACCTAGTTGCATCCATTTCGTGGATGATAAAACCGAGTGGCGTGTGCTACGTGGCATAAGACTGCTTGATGGCTTGGCAGCGACTCACGAGCCAGCCAAAGGGACCCGTCATGTACCGCCCGTTCTCCATGCAGAGCTGCGGAATCGACGTCTACGCAAAAGAGAGATGGTTGTTCTATCATCTCCTTCAATCGCTGGGTATGACCTCGCCGTGCTGCGCCATGAGCTCGTCAAAGACGTGGCGAAGCATTTGCGCAATGCCAGCTACGTCGACGACCGGCTACACCAAAGATAAGACACTTGGCGCCGGAAGCGGGACGTACCTGGTCGGGGTAGTACGGGATCCCGAGGCCGCCGCCAATGTTCATAAACTCGATCGTGATGCCGAGCTAGATCGAC